CCCAGCCTTCTGAGCCTCTGGGATTACTTACATGCGCCACCACGCCCAACAAATGTGAAGACTTTTCTAGTACTATGCCTTCAGATTTTTTTTCTTACCCATTCTCACTCTTCYGAGACTCTAATTACAGCAACATTAYTCTGATAAATTCAACATCTAAACTATCTCAGGATTGGTTTCTCTTGACTATTTTCCCTGCTTCACATTTCGTATTTCTTGGGTGATTTTTATTATGTTCTAGACATTGTGGATGGTATGTTACAGATGCTCAGAAATCTGCTGTCTTTCTTTGAAGAGTGCTGACTCTTGTTTTATTAGGCAATTCTGTTACTAGCACACCACACTAAATTTATGCAAGTTTTAGTTTATTCTTTAGTGTGAATGATCTCTCAAAAGTTCAAGAAGATTCCCAAGTTCCTATAAATTGGTGGAAATCAACCTCCAAACTGTGCTGAGTCAGGTTTCAAGGTTGGCTTGGTCAATAAGAGTAGGCCTTTCTCTGGGACATGGAATGTATGATGAAGCACAGACTTTCGGTTTTCTCAGAAAAAAAATGCTAGAAGTGATATAAGATCTCATAAGATTGTTCCACTTTTGCRGCCTGAATCAACTCAATTCTACCTTTTAAAAATCTTTAGTCCATATTAGCAACCCTATGGTAGATTTGGGGGAGTCTCCATCTGTTATGTATTCATTCATACCTGCCCTTGCCAAGTGCTCACAAATGATGTGCATATGTACGTTCTGGCATCTTCCCAAGCATAGGACTCTTATCTCTAGTGTTCTCAGTAGGAGCATTGTGATCTACCTAGACTGCAGCTTGCTATAACAGTTAAGAAATTGTCCCCAGGCAAAAATGATAACTGTAGGGCTTCTCTAATGAATCTTCCTTTTTTTCAGTGACTGAAGTCTTGCATTCTTGTTCTGCAGTGACCAAAAACTATTGCCTCATAAATATTTTCCAGTTGTTTATTGGAGAAGTCCAGTATCAGTTATACTTATATAGCTGGAAGTTGAAGACCACATGCATTCTTGCATAGACATTTTTTTCCTTATAAGTTTCTTATAATTAGGATTATCTTAATGTAATAAATTAACAATCTACCATGAATTCTATAGATTTATTTTAGAAAATCATATTTAAGTATATCTCTAYGGTTTCTGTGATGTGAAATGCTAACACTTTTAATCACTAAAATTGTGAATCATTTATTTTTGCTGACTTGCAGCAAAATAAATTCATGGGAAATTACTAATATAAAGAACTTATATAGATTATGTTGTGGCTCATTCTTATATTATATATATATATATGTACTACTATATTACATATATTTGTGAGTAGTATATTCCCAATGCAGTTCATAATTAATTAACTACTTAATTTAAATCATTTTCTTAGATGGAGCTGGAAAATTTGTAAATTGTTTAATTTAACTTAAGTTATATGGTGGTAATGGAAAAGTATAGAGTATAGTTTTAAAAATTTGAAGTTCCATGCAAATTCACCAGTTTTAACTTATAATTATCAACAGCTAAGTATTTGAGATTAAAAATGAAGGTGAAGCTGGTTGTGGTGATGCACACCTGTAATCCCAGCAACCAGGGAAACTGAGGTCAAAGGATCACAAGTTCAAGGCCACTCTCAGCAAGTAATTGAGGTGCTAAGTAACTTAGTGAGACCCTGTCTCAAAATAAAATAAAAAGTGCTGGGGATGTAKCTCAATGGTAAAATTCCTTTTGGTTAAAAAAAAAATTAATTAGGTGAATTTATTTTTAAATTAATGAACCAAATGTTTTGTCAATATGCGATCCAATATTTGGCTATTCAGAAGTCAGTTGTTACCAATTGAGGCAGAAGACTGAAATCATTACTATGCCCAAACATTTTTGGAACACAAAACCTGGAATAAAAGCATTCTCTCAAGGGATTAAAGGATTAACAGCATAGCTACTGAATTAAGAATGCTATTGATTGAGCTGACTTTGGAAATTTACCTTGTTATAAGCACAGCTGCATCCACTGAAGTCAAGTCTTCCCCCCAGCTTGTGGACATCTCTAAATGTATGTCATTCTTCTTGCCAAATTCTTCATGTTGCCATTTACAAAAACTCTCCAGCATTTTCTCTCCATGATGCCCAATATACAGATCTGCCTGTAACACAATATATATTTACTTCAAGGTAGATTTTTCTTAGATATACAAAAAAAAAAAAAAAAACTAAACTAAAAACTGAGGAAACTTCCTGAATTACTAAAGCAGACTGCTACCATAACATTAATTAGAACCTGGCTATTCAGGAAGACATTTAGCATTAATTTAGCCTGAGCTGAAAAAATCTTAAAACTTTGTGAAGGTACAATATTATAAAATCTGCTTAATGCTTCTCTGAAAAAGGAAAGAGGTACAACGGAACATTAGAAGATGTGGAACTTTTAGACTTAAATAACTCATTTCTTATACAATTTAAGAACAACATTTTTCTGAAGTGTCTGTTAGGTAGTATGCCAAAGTGATGCCACAGACTGTGGTACATTTAAACTAACTACAGATAAGAAAATGCTTTTAAAGCACATGTTTAACTAATAGAAAAAATCTGTCATTTAAAATGGCTTTTTAAAGTGACATTTTGGAAAGTTAAGGTTTGTTGTCAGGATCCTTGGAAACTAAAAACATTCCATTTTTTGAAAAAAAAATTGAGGTATTAAGCAACACTAAAAGGCAGTTTTATGTATACTTTAAGTGACTCAGTGGATATTTCTGGATTTTAAGTCAATAAAACTATATCCCTAACATTCCCTTTACTTAAAAGTTCCTGAACACAGTTTCTTACCCACTTAATTGAATAAAAACTCAAGACTTTCTTACTGGAGTTTCATGGAGCAGAATAAGCTTTATCACACGAAGATTGACCTGCACACCAAGACTCTTGTGTTGGAAAAGGTTAAAAACCTAAAAACAAATAAAAATTAAAAACCTAAAGTAAAACTGAAAAACATCTTGATTTTTCTTAAAGGCCAAACATGGGGGAAGTCTCAGTTTGGTTGAGAAATCTTATTTTAAAATGCTGGAAAATAAGATGATTTTTAATGGTGGTTTGATTTAAAAATAAACTTAGCATTTATTTAATTTGTATTAGAAAATATATAACTGGCAAACCAAAGCCATGCTTTCAGCCTAATTACTACATAGAAGAGACTGACATCATTAGGCTAYGTCATTAGCACATTCCTGGAGTGCTCAGGATGCAGCAGAATATGGACAGAATTCTCTGAAGTGTGAAAACCCTGCCCACTGGAAAAACAGTCAAGTGACAGTAAAGGTAGTAAAAACAGTAAAAACAGTAAACTTATCCCTGAATCAATGATTCTTACCTTGCCTTCTATAGTAACTGGAATTAAAAATGGACATTTGCCTTTGGTCTTTATTTCTGTTTATTTTCCCTAAGAACTATTCTTTATTATGATCTGCTAGTTTTTCCTTGAAGAAAGTTTACCCAACAGAATTACAGTGAAGTCAAAGGATTAAGTTGGTAGGATACATCCCTAGAATCCTAGATATAAACTAGATTTCTTCAGTCCAGGAACTGTTAACTAAATTTAGCTATGTAAGTTTAGCTGGCTAACATTTTATCGAGTAAATTTTAGGTTTTAGTTGTCAACTATAACCATTTAATTTTACATACATATGTAAGAGCTCAGTGGTTACCAACATCTATTTTTATGCAACCTCCWAATTAACTTATAGAGCTTTTGGTAGGGTCATGCATGTAAACAAATATTGTAACATTTCGGCTGATATCAACAAATGACCTTTATAAGAGAGAAGGAAAATAAAGGCATAAAAAGAAAGAGAGAAAAGAATAAAAGAGAAAGAGTTTTGCCACATGAAAATTCACAATAAACGTTTTTTTTAATTAAATGTGAATCATTATTTTGACATCTCTTTGGAGATTAATCATTTTGGTATACCCAAGATACCAAATCAATATTTTTACTGATGTCAATAAAAGAAAGGAACAGGAATGAGTTAAATTTTTTTTAAAAAAAACTTCATTATAAATACTCACACATTTCTTCCTTAGAGTTTTCTTGAAAAAATTCCAAGCGCACTTTAAAGTTTGCCTACCATATTTAAGATGGTTAGAATGAATCTCCTGGCTGCATCTGCTCCATGATAAGAAACCATTGCTGGATCTGCAACCACTACAGTCTCTATGTTGTATTCTTGAGGTAATTTGTATGAATACCGCTTCTCTCTTCCATTCTCTGCTATTTTTTTAGACCTAGGTCTTCCTTTATCTGCAACAAAGAAATGAATTTTCAAATGTACCTCTATCTTGGTTAGGTTAATAATGTTAATCTTCATAGTAGTGACAGAACCAATTATGTTCCCTGCACAGATGAAATCTCAAAGGGTACTTGGCTTTGGGGTATAAACTTAAAATCAGGTAGGATGGGCTTCTGCCATTTATTAGCTCTGCCATTTTAGGAAACCAGTTTCTCCCAGTCAATCTCAACTTCCTCATCTGTGAAATGAATAATAATATCACCTACTTTCTATAGAGTCATTGATAATGGCTTAGAAGATCACATTAGTAAAATTTCTATCACAGAATTCCATATACACAAAATAACTCAGTAAATAAAATATATTGTAATTTTCTTTTGACACAAATATTGAACATATTACATAAATTAAGTACTGGAAGTGAAAGCTCCACACATTCTAACATCATGCAGGTGATCACAACTTCTTAATCATTATAAATGAACAAGAATTTGGCTTCACTTTCTGTCAGGAGCACATCAAAGTTATACCTTTGAATGATAAAGATTCCTTAAACACGGCCAAATACAAGGAGAAAATACAAACAAAATAAGTTTGCCTACATAAAAATTAAACACTTCTCTTTATCAAACCATGCCACTTTCAGAATGAAAACCATACCAATGAGGAGCAATATTTTAATGCATTTTCAGAATAAAGAAATGAAGGGCCACTATATATGGATAGCAGATAACTCGATTGAAAAATGAGTGAAGGACTTGAATAGTCATTTCTCACAAGAATTACCTAAATGAGTAATTGGTATCTTTCTCTGGTGCCCTCAGGGCAATACAAATTATAATAATAATTACTATAATTATACTTATATATTATTATATAAGAAATAGTTGGATAACTGAATTTTGGCCCATTTGTTTAACAAAAAATAATAAACCACTACTGAACAATGAAAAGAAACCAATTGCTTCAAGGTGGAAGATACATATGAACCTCATAGGGATGAGCAAGGAAGAAAGTTACAACACAGAAGGTAGTGTGAGTCTATTTATAGAAATGTCAAAAGCTGAGACGATATCATGTTATCTTCCATAGGAGATACCAAAGCCTAGGAGTGGGCAAAAGAACCATATAAACTCACAGTAATATTTAGTAGGCAACACTCCTACAAATTTATGAACAGACTCATCTTGGCAGGATCAACACCTAATAAATGCATTATGAGAAATATATATACATATATATATATATGTATATATATATATGTATATATATATGTATATATATATATACAAAATATATATACATATATATTTCTCATATATATGAGAAATTTCAATTTATGCACATGTTGTCACATTTTATTCTCAGATTTTAGAGAAGTTGTAAAGCAACTTTATAGCAACTTTATAGTTGTAAAGCAAGTGGTTGTCACTTTATATTCATTGCTTATTCTTTCCTTTAGGAATAGAAAATTCTTTCCCACTTTTGTCTTTTACTTGGGTCTGTGACTAGCATACCAGAAACAATTCTTAGCTTGTGGTTCAATGGGGTGTGATCACGTAGCTGCATGTTTAAGAATGGAATATGTGCAAGAATGGTATGTGCAAGAAAGTCAAGGTTTGAACATCTTCTCTCATATGCAAAAGGTAGGACAAAGTCTTTGGAGGAAAAGCAGGGGTTGGATCTGGTAAGCCTAGAGGGATCAGTGGAGTAGAAGATTGAGTGGGAGGAAGGAGAGATGAGACAGGAGAAGAAATGCAGAATTTACTCCAAAAAATTATGCTATGTTCATGTGCAAACACACCACATGAATTCCACCTCTGTGTGTATCTACAAAGCATCATAGATAAAAAAAAATAAGTAAATAAATAGAAGAAAGATGGGTAGAGTAGAGGAAGGAGGAGGGTAGTACAATAGAAGGCACTTAGAATGGAACAAATTAAAGTCCATGCATGGGTGACGATCAACCCAACTAGATGTAACTATAATGCATTAATGAAAACATTTAAAAAAAAAAAAGAAAATTCCTTGTCCCTTACTTTTTCTCTCTGCTTCATGCCATGGTCAAGAAATTAGAAATGGACCTGTGCAGGACCTAGGCTCACAGTAGGCCCAGGTCCATCCCGCCACTGGCAGACACTTGCTGGAGCTCAGGCTCTGGCACAGGACCATCCACACTGAAATACACAGGACTCAGGCTGATGGTGGTTCCAAGCTCTCCACCCCCCTCCCACCTGGGAGCCCAAGCATAACCCACTTCCATCTTGGGACACTGCAGACATCGCCATAGCCTTCCCCACACAGTAGCCCCTAACTTTTGACAACAGAAAGGGCCTGGAAGCAGTTGCATCTCAGAGCAGGCATCCCAAAGACAGTGTAAGGCCCACTCTTTCAGCTCCATCTTTGTAAGA